AGAGAGAGAGAGAGAGAGAGAGAGGGATCAAACTCATGAGCTATACTATAAAGTTTTGGGAGAGTGATTGAGTGACGACTAAGGCATGAAACGAGTATTATAAAAAAATCAATTCGATTTTATGGCAGGGTAGTCAACAACCGGGGCTATTTTCCTACTTAGGCAACTGATTGAGAAGTTTAAGACGAAAAGAAAAGACCTCCACTTGTCTTTATTGATGTGGAGAAAGCTTATGATAGAGTACCTCGGGATTTGATTTGGTGGGTATTGGATATTATATTGACTTGGTGAAGAAATGTACGATCGAACGTTAACTAGTGTACAAACAACTAGCGGAGAGATAAGTGAGTTTTCAGTAACAATAGATTTACATCAGGGGCCAACATTGAGCCTATACCTCTTTGTCCTAGTTATGGATGACTTAAGTAGGCACCTACAAAATGAGGTACTATGGCGTGTGTTGTTCGCAAATGACATAGTCTTGATCAATGGGACCTAAAATGTCGTCAACATAAAGTAAGAACTTTGGAGAGATGCTCTAGAATCTAAATATTTTAAACTTAGCCGGACTAAGACAAAATATATAAAATGCAAGTTTAATAATAATAAGAGTAGAGACGAGGAAGCAATTAAGATTGACAGTTAGGAAATACCAAAAAGAGCGCATTTTCGATATCTTGAATCGATAATCCAGGAAAATGCAGAGATTGTGGAATATATATCGCACATAGAGTTAAAGCTGTGTGGGCGAAGTGGAGATGTGCAACCAAAATTTTATGTGATCGTGCCGCATATAAATGAAGTTGAAGGGCAAGTTCTATAGGACAATTATGAGACCGGCTTTGCTCTATAGGGCGAACTATTGGGTGATCGAAAAATAATATACCCATAGAATAAGTGTAGTTAAGTTGGAGATGTTGAGATGAATAAGTGGTAAGATAAGAAGGGATGGAATTCGAAATGAATACATTTGAAAAATTTAAGTGTGATACCCATAAGCGATAAGATGAGAGAGAGTAGACTTAGGTGGGCTGGTCATGTGTGGCGCAGACTCAATACAACACTTGTTAGGAGGTGTGAGTTAGTTCAAGTGGAAAGCTCAAAAAGGGCAAGGGGTAAGTCCAAAAGGATATGGTTGGTACTAGCAAGAAAAGGTATAGGGATTTATAACTTCATTAAGGGTATGACCCTTAATAGAGTAGAATAGCTGATCATGATTCTTTTTGCCAACTCCAATTAGTTGGGAAAAGGTTGTGTCGATGATGATATATAAGAAAAAGATTTTGTCACCCCAAGGGCTAATGGAAAAATAAGCTCAGCGGCCTAGATTCAAACTAGGTCGATGTGATGGTTATGATTGTATTTCATATTAAATTTTTTTTTTCTACCAATCCAAATCACTTAAAATTTCAGTGTTCACTCTTCTCATTAAGTTGCACCTAATAAATATTTAAAAAATATTTGTAAAAACTAAATTGACTAAAATACTTCATATAGCTTTCAAGGGTATTTTAGTTAATTTATTTTTTACAAATTATTTTTTCTAATATTTTTATTAGGTTTGTCTATTTTTCAAGAGTAGACGCTCAAAATTTCAAGTGAATTGGATTTATAAAAAACTTAAAAATTCAAATTCAAATTCAAATAGGAAATGCAATCTTCACCCATTCGATCGGGCCAAATTCAATTTCTGTCGTTGGGCGTTTACTGTAGCTGTCTGCTAGCGAGTTGACCTGAAAACAAAGGTAAATGTTAGAATGAGTTATCAAGGGTGGATTACTGTGTAGTTTATTTTTTAAAGAGATATCTTGCTCATCAAGTAAGGGTGTATATGTAAATATCAATAAAAGATAAGGGATACTTTTGTCATCTTTAAAGTTACTAAACGACAAGGGTATTTTACAAATAAAGTTCAAATACACTAACTTCCAAACTACCATTGTACTTTTGTAGAAATTTCAAATTTATCTTTATTTAATATTAAGTTACCTATTAAAATTAATTTTTTAAATAAGTAATATTTTTTTATACAAATATACCCAGCACAACCAATTTTAATATTAGCCTTTGTATTTTGAGCGATTGGTATTAGTGGATTCCATCAGCTACTGGACTGATAGGATCTTTTTCTTATATATAT